TGCAGTCAGCTGAAATAGCCTGCAGTGCTGCATTTAACCACTGCGCCACCTCGGCTCTTTCAGCAAATCCATTTGCTGTTCCATGGACTTGGAAGTTGGAGAACAGACCCCTACTCTCCTGGTTTACCCGGCACAGTAAAGAAGAGAGACTGGCCAAGGCATCTGCGTTATCCCAAAAAACCCCATCCCAATGCCAGCCTCACATTCCTTCTTGTGACTGATGGATGGATTCCTTCAGACTTCAACGAGTGGGAGGGCACCATAATCTGTGTGATTAAGCAACCACTTTGCTTAACATGCGTTGCGCACCCGAAATCAGGGCATTATTTTTTGTTGGCAAGCCAAAACAGAAATAATAACTGTGTGATAGAGATTGGCAAACGAAATGGAAAATTTTATGCTAGGGATACAGGGTGGGGTTGGTTTTGATTGTTGTTGTTTTTGCCAATTCAAGATCAAGTGAATAACACTTTAATTCAGCACTGAGAGAAGACTCTACTTACTCAACTATCAGTACCAACATGAAGACTGCACAACTTAAGATCACTTTTAGTTCAACCACATACAGTCAATAATGAGTACTATTGAACTGCTGTATTCATGCCCCCGAAACAGCAAAAGAATTGTTTTCATCTGTGTTGTAAAAACAAATAGGTCACTCTTCTGGGGCAGGAATCTCAGCCTGTAATTAAGAAAGATGAAGCAAAGCAAAGCCAGAACAGAAGGAGTCTTCACTTTTCAGAAATCACACTCACTCAAAGTTGATCCTGGTCTCCAGCTTTACCTCCTGGTCCATCAATACTAAACTGTCCTGGTTCAACGCCAGCGGCTTCTGTGAAAAGCCAAAGAAATACGGAAATATCGACACAGTGCAAAGAAAGAACACTCACGTAGGAATGTGCATAGAAATGCTTGCTAATGTATGATTCTACATCACCCACAGATTAATTCATGGCAGCCAGCCTTGACTTAGACCATTTAACAACCATTTGGAGTTACAAGCGTGATGGAAAAAGTGACAACTGGTTCTTGCACTTATAGCATCCCTCCGGTTGCACGATCAAAATTTGGACACTTAACAATCAGCATGTATTTATGATGGCTGAAGTGACCCTGGATGACACAATTACCATTTATGTCTTTCCCAACAAAGTCAATGAGGACATCTGGATTCACTTAATGACCGTGTGATTCATTTAACGGCCATGGCAAAAATAAAGGTTGCAAAATTGTGGAAACTCATTTCATAACTGCATTTCTTAGCAATGGATATTCTGGTCTTAATTGTAGTTATAAGTCAAGGACTATTGATATGAAATTATTAAGGTCAGTGATGCAATTCTGGGAAAATAGCTTTTAAGAAATCTGCAAATAATACTGGGGAGAGATATTTTTAATTGTGGTAGGAATGAAAATGTTTCTAAACAAAGGAATA